CAATTCCTGGATTATACCTAGGCCACTCTTCCTTTACGACCACATGGTCCAAAAATCGCTGACTGATAATCTCAGCCCGATGAACAGAACAACTGTTTTCTTGGAATATGTATCCACTCATATTGTCAAATCCTGCCCGTTTTTCTGAATAGTTCTTTTTTCTAAGATTATTAAACGAGTCTCTCATTTTTTTGAGGGAAAGAATGTCGTCATTTTTCAACACTTTCATCGGACATCCTGATCGCTCTGCGTCCTCAAAGCAACCATTTTCCATGTTAATTTTATAAATTTTTGCAGCTGTCGAAGATGAGATAGTCCAGCTTTTTCGGCTATTTTCCGTCATGACCATCCAAGCTCGCGTAAAACCACAATTCAGCATCTTTTTTATACGTGTGTTCGAAGCAATAATGCTTAATGGAAACTCAAAATTGCATGCAAAACACGGCACATGGCTTGATTAGAAATCGTTTAAGAAAATGGTGCGACCAAAGGAATGTTCCCCGCGACTGGCTCGATCAAAAGAAAATTAGTCGCGGCGGTCCAAAAATTAGTCGCAGCGTTTAAAAAATTAGTCAAAGCGGTCAAAAAAATAGTCGCGGTGGTCGAAAAATAGCTGCGGCCATCGAAAAAATAGTCGCAGCGGTCAAATAATTAGTCACCGGATGGTCGAAAAAATAGTCGCGGCGGTCAAAACTTAGTCGTTGCGGGGGAAACATTAGTCCCGGCATGGTCACAAAATTGGTTGTGGCTCTCAAAAAATTAGTCGCGGTGTTCAAAAAATTAGTCGACGAGTCTTATTTTTTGATCATGCCGCGATTAATTTTTCGACCATGCCGCGACTATTTTTCGGCCGACGCGACTTAATTTTTTGTGATTTAACGGCAATTTGTTTCGTTTAATTTCACCGGATGCCTTCATTGCTCTGTGACCTCAAAATCACCATTTTTCAGGTTTTTTAGACATGTTTGCAGTCAACGAATGTTGAGATAGTTCAGCTTTTTCTGCGGTTTTTTTGCCATGACCATTCAAGCTCGCGTAAAACCATAACTCAGCATCTTTTTATGTGTACTCAGAAAGCCATAATGGGTGAGTGAAACTTGAAACTGCATGCAAAACACGGCTTGACTAAAACTCGTTTTAAAAAATCTTATCTGAGTGACATCTCTCTCAAAGTGTCTACTCATTCATTGTAGCCCAGTGTATTTCCAGACTATCGCCACTAAAAATGGACATTTTTAGACATCTTCGCCGAAGGAATGCTCAGCGCGACCGGCGCGACCGAAAGAAAGTTAGTCACGCCGGTCAGAAATATAGTCACAGGCGTCGGAAAATTAGTCGCGGCGGTCGAATAATAAGTCGCGGGATGGTCAAAAAATTAGTCGTGCCCGTCAAAAAATTAGTCACGGCGGCCAAAATTAGTTGCGGTTTTCCAAAAACAGTCTCGGCATGCTCGAAAATCTAGTCACGGCGATCAAAAAAACTAGACGCAGCAGTCGAAAAAATAATCGCCGCGTTCGAAAAATTAGTCGCCGCGGTTGAAAAAATAGTAGCAGCCTTCAAAAGTTTAGTCGCGGCGGTCGAAAATTAGTCGCGGCCGTCGAATAATATTCGCAACGGTCGAAACAGTAGTCGCGGCATGGACGAAAATTAGGTCGCGGCATGGTAAAAAAAATAGTGCGGTGGTCAAAAATCTAGTCGCGGTGCTCAAAATATTAGTCGCGCCGGTCGGAAAAACAGTCGCGGCGGTCAAAAAATTGTTGGCGGAGGTCGAAAAGTTAATGGCGGTGGTCAAAAAATTAGTCTCGGCGGTCGAAAAATAGTCGCAGCGCTCGAAAAAAGAATCGCGGCATGGTCCATAAATTTGTCGCGGCATGGTCGAACAATTGGTCGCGGCGGTAAAAAAAAAATAGTAGCGGTGGTCAAAAAATTAGTCGCCGCGATTTATTTTTCGACTCTGCCGCGACTAAATTTTCGACCTCCGCGATTCATTTTTCGACCTCCGCGAATAAGTTTTTGACCGCCGCGAATGTTTTTTTTTGACCGGCGCGACTAATTCCATGAGCACTGCGACTAATTTTTTCACCGCCGCGACTAATTTTTTGACCATGCCGCGACCTACTTTTCGACCATGCCGCGACTAATGTTTCGGCCATGCGGCGACTGTTTTTTCACCGACGCGACTTTTTTTCGTGATTTAACGGCAATTTGTTTCGTTTAATTTCACCGGATGCCTTGATTGCTCTGTGACCTCAAAACCACCATTTTCAGGTTTTTTTGCAGTTATCGAATGTTGAGATAGTCCAGCTTTTTCTGCGGTTTTTGCCACGACCATCCAATTTCGTGTAAAACCATAACTCAGCATCTTTTTTGTGTACTCAGAAAGCCATAATGGTTAATTAAAACTTAAAACTGCATGCAAAACACGGATTGAATAAAAATCGTATCTGTAGTGACATCTCTCTCAAAGTGTCTACTTATTCATTGTAGCCCAGTGTATTTCCAGACTGCCGCCACCAAGAAAAGGGACCTTTTCAGACGTCCTCGGCCGAAGGAATTATCAGCGCGACCGGCGCGACCGAAAGAAACTTAGTCGCGCCGGTCAGAATTATAGTCGCGGGGGTCGGAAAAATAGTCGCGGCGGTCGAACAATTAGTCGCGGGATGGTCGAAAAGTTGGTAGTGTCGGTCAAAAAATTAGTCAGGGCGGCCAAAAGTAGTTGCGGTTTTCAAAAAACAGTCTCGGCATGCTCGAAAATCTAGTCACGGCGATCAAAAAAACTAGACGCAGCAGTCGAAAAAATAATCGCCGCGTTCGAAAAATTAGTCGCCGCGGTCGAAAATATCGCGAACATTTTTTTGACCGCCACGACTGTTTTTCGACCGGCGCGACTAATTTTTTGAGCACCCTGACTAATTTTCGACCATGCCGCGAACTACTTTTCGACCATGCTGCGACTACTCTTTCGACCGCTGCGACTTTTATTCGACGGCCGCGACTAGTTTTCGACCGCGGCGACTAAATTTTCGAACGCCGCTACTATTTTTTTCGACCGCGGCGACTAATTTTTTGTATGCGGCGTCTAAATTATCGACTGCTGCGTCTAGTTTTTTGATCGCCGCGACTAGATTTTCGACCATGCCGAGACTGTTTTTTTGAAAACCGCAACTAATTTTGGCCGCCCTGAATAACTTTTTGACCGACACGACCAACTGTTTGACCATCCCGCGACTAATTGTTCGACCGCCGCGACTAGTTTTCCGACCCCCGCGACTATATTTCTGACCGGCGCGACTAAGAATTTTTCGGTCGCGCCGGTCGCGCTGAGAATTCCTTCGGCCGAGGACGTCTGAAAATGTCCCTTTTTTTGGTGGCGGCAGTCTGGAAATACACTGGGCTACAATGAATATAAAGACACTTCGAGAGAAATGTCACTACAGATACGACTTTTATTCAAGCCGTCTTTTGCATGCAGTTTTAAGTTTCAATTACCCATTATGGCTTTCTGAGTACACAAAAAAGATGCTGAGTTATGGTTTTACACGAGATTGGATGGTCCTAGCAAAAAACGCAGAAAAAGCTGGACTATATCAACATTCGATAACTGCAAACATGTCTAAAAAATCCTGAAAAATGGTGGTTTTGAGGTCACAGAGCAATCAAGCCATCCGGTGAACTTAAACGAAATAAATTGCCGTTAAATCACGAAAAAGTCGCGCCGGTCAAAAAACAGTCGTGGCGGTCCAAAAAATATTCGCGGAGGTCGAAAAATTAACCGCGGTGGTCAAAAACTTAGACCTAGTGGTCAAAAATAGTCGCAGCGCTCTAAAAAAATTGCGTCATGGTCAAAAAATTAGTCGTGGCATGGTCAAAAAATTGGTCGCGGTGGTAAAAAAAATTAGTAGCGGTGGTCAAAAAATTAGTCGCCGTGACTTATTTTTCGACTATGCCGCGACTAAATTTTTGACCATGCCGCAATTATTTGTTCGAATGCTGCGACTATTTTTTGACCGCCAGGACTAAATTTTCTACCGCCGCGATTCATTTTTCGACCTCCGCTAACAATTTTTTGACCGCAGCGACTGTTTTTCGACCGGCGCGTCTAATACTTTGAGCACCGCTACTAATTTTTTGACCGCCGCGAGTAATTTTTCGACCATGCCGTGGCCTGCTTTTCGACCATGCCGCGACTAATGTTTCGACCGCTGCGATTGTCATTCGACGACCGCGACTATTTTTCGACCGCCGCGACTAAATTTTTGAACGCCGCTACTATTTTTTGACCGCGGCGACTAATTTTTCGACTGCTGCGTCTAAATTTTCGACCGCCCAAATTAATCTTCCGACCACCGCGATTAGTTTTTCGACCACCGCGATTAATTTTTCGACAGCCGCGACTAATTTTTTGCCCATCGCGGCCGAGATACGGTATTTCCAGCGTTTTTCCGCGACTTAAACCCTGGCCAGACTTTGGGTTTTCGGTCGCTAAATTAACATTTCCGCGACCGACAAAGTAGAAAAATAAGTCTCGGACCTCGACCCGGGACACACAATTTTGTTTGTTTTTTCTTTTGAAAAAAAAAACTTTGAAAGACCTACTCTAAAATCAAATTTTCGACTTAGGGTATCATTCTCTCTCCGTAAGTTTTACTAACTTGGCTAACCTTTTTTGACTACATGGTCCAACTGTTATGAAAATTGAGTTGTTGAAAAACATATAGGTCATCGTTCCTTACGTTGACTCGTTACATCTTAAACTTAATGATTTTGTGACCGCGGGAAAGGTGGCAAAAGAGCCCCACAGGGCGAGGAGACGTTTCATGTCATGCAATGGAATAGTTATCCTCATCAGCTTATATACGATCCAGGTGAGTCAGAAGCTACTCTTTCAATCATCCCATTTGTACGCGAAGTTTAATCTATTTGAGATATTTTTGTTATGCCAAAAAGAGATATGTCATTATTCTTTTAATATATGAGTATTACAAACCAAAACTGTTGTCGTCGAATCAAAAATCGAGCTTAAACGACAGTTTATTATTTTGTTGATTTTCTTGATAAAATCAATTAAAATTTCACAGCTATTTTTTCAAGTTATTAAAGCTTCTTTAAAAAGTTTTCCTCCAAATAGTAAATCAAAATCTGTTTATCAAATGGATCTGAAAAAGAAATGCCCTGAAAGCGTCAGAAGAATCAAAACAAAGGGTATGTAGAAAAGCCAAAGGTCGTTTAAAGCTTGTAAATTAAACCAAGTTTTCAGTCATCTGACGAAATTATACGTTTTGCTGCCGGCGGTAAACATAATTCAAGACAGAATTTTCAAAATTTGAAGACTTGTTTGCCAGCTTATATACGAGTTACAATAAGGAAAACAGTGTTCGATAATCTTTCTTCTTGTTCCTATTTTTCTGATTTGGTGATTCGAAATTGTCAGATAGCAATCAAGATCAAGCTTTGGCAATTTCCGAACTAAACCGATATCGTACGGTTTGGTTATGCTAACTAGTAAGAACGCGCTGTGCCGTTTTTGAAGGCAGCTGATTATTTTTTTATTTCAAGAAAAATGATTCTTAAAGTCGACCCAAAATGTGTTTACTTTTGATGTTCAGGCGTTACTTTAGGAGAATTTACATAGACAAGTCATCTTTTGAAAGCCTCAGAATTGTTTCTTTGTTTATTTGCGGATTTTTCAGGACAACAAACACGTTTCTTACACAAAAATCATAATACATGGTCGTGATCATTATAGCTCACTCACCATATCAAAGTATAGCCCCCTCCATAATAGTTAAGTTTCAGTGTGGCGAGGCTATAACTTTTTTATAAGTAGGCTAAGGGGGGGGGGGGGGCTACAATGGAGAGGACCTTAATATAATTTACTGTTTCGATTTAAGACCACAACGGGAACGAGCGTGAGCTGGTGGTGCCTCTGGGTCTGGACATAGACCGTCCGAAGAGGGAGCGGACTTGTTTCAGTGCCGAACAGCTGTTCCTTCTTGAGGAGGAGTTCACAAGGGGACAGTACATGGTGGGCAGGGACAGGACCCTGCTGGCGGGCAGATTGGGGCTGACAGAAACACAGGTGGGGGTGATTCTAGTTTTCTAAAATTTGGAGAATTTTCTTATAGACAAAAAAAACAGCAGAGATGAAGAAATGAATGCAAAATTGAAAAAGCATCTTTATGAAAGCGAGAAATACATTTTATTAAGCAAAGTAAAAGATAAACAACAAAATGAGTTAAGACCGATGTGGTTAACTCATAGAGTAATTTCGGATAGGGTACACCGTCTGCTCGTCACGCTATCTTATTTTCGGCCGGATAGATTCGTGCAACTTCTTAGTCTAATACCGATCCTAATCTTACTCTTATACTTTCTAGTCTCAGGGTGTTTAACTAGTCTCTGCTAGGCTCAATAGATCTAGAGTATACTGGCTTATTGCAACTGCTGAAGTTCTCTTGGAGAGGCAACTATTTTCTAAGTTAAATTCAAATCTCTCTGGTGCTGAAATTACAAGTAATTTCAGCAGTTACAAATAATTGGGTTGTTAGTTAGATGGATTATGATTGGTTAATATTAAGTATTTTACAGTGGTAAAATATCCAATTTATCCAATTATAAAATGTAGTTTAGATCAGGTTCTAAAAAATTGAAAAAACTGAAATTTGAAAATGTGAAAATAAAAGAAAATTAAAAGAAGTATTTTTAAAATTCGGATCCTAATCTCACCTCAGCGATAGTTTCTATTTTTGCTTTTTTTTGTTTTGCAACGAACTGATAAAAAAAATGATTGTTTAGATAAAAGTCTGGTTCCAAAATCGCCGAACAAAACAAAAACGAGAATCAATAAAGCCCGACTTAGCCCGAAAACCCTTCAACAGTATATCCAAACATGACAATTCGGACAGTTCTCTGACACAGGACAATCTGACATCTCTCAGTTCTTTTTTCGACGAATCAAAACCGACACAATTTGGAGGACATCAAGTGTCACTTTATGACATAACTAAAAATGCAATGTTAGAAAATGGAACTTCACCTGGACATTTAATGACGTCATTGCAATATTTTCACTTGGGTCAACCTATGCTGGGTTATTTGGACCCCCAGAATGTATTTGGATCAGTTTACCAAGGAATAAATACGGGAGTAACGCAGAAACTATTGTACCATTTTGATAACAACAAACACAGCGATTCGCATATATGAAAAAGCAGCAAACAAATGGAAACCAAAAATGTGAATTGAAATGACTGTGTTACTTAATATTTTCATTAATACCTTAGTTTTTTAATTTAAAAAATTATATGAATGTTGTTCGCATTAAGTTATAAATTATCGAGGAATTTAAACTATCGGCAGTTGAGGGTAGCTCATTCAAGGCAGGACAATATAGTAGACACGAATTTTGCAGCAAGTAAAAAATCTGTGGGCTTTATTCTCAGTGCCTTTTAATGTCTCAGATCTAATTTTTGCTAATCTTCAATCAAAATTCTTTTTTTTTGTATCGCAGAAACTTTCGACGTATAAATATTCGACGTAGAAATATATCGACGTATAAGAATATTTAACACAATTGACAAATCAGAACATTCTCAACTAGAAGCTGTTAACCTTAGCATCATTTTGTGAAACGCGGGATGATATAAACAGACGACAAAAACCTGCCAGACAAAGTCTCTTTTCTAACTTTTTTATTGGTTTCAGTTATATACGTTTTAGTTTAATTCAAAAACATTGATTTTTGGAGCCCAACGTTACGCCAAACAATTCAATTTCTGTTCAATTTTCCGCTTTTATGTTCTCGTTTATGGAAGGTTATTTGCGTGACAATATCCTACGCCCTCAAGGAAGGCAGGATGGCGCGATTTTTACTGCCGTACGGGTAATGTAACCATTCAAAGTTTTTTGTATGGCAGATCGGGCAACACCGTCTTTTCCGAAGTTAAGCGTTCTCCTGATGGCTATAGGATAATAACCTCGGGGGTTGGCGGACTTTGCTATCCGCACTAAATCGCCTTACCATCGTAACATATTGCATTTGCATGTGCCTGCGCACGCACAAACCGTTTTCTATGGGTGAACTCTTTCTCGAAACACAAGCAAGGGAATGTCGCACTTGGCTGCCCAGGCAGAAAATAGTTAGGCGTAATAGCTTCCAAATTATCCAAATAACTGTTTACTGGAGTCAGTGGTTGCGAATTTAAAGAGTCCACAGCCAAGCAGAACGTTATGTCCAGAATGTCTATTGTTAGTTTGCGGGTTCCATGTCCGGAAAAAAACACACGCTTGCAGGGCCTTACCAGATGCTCCCATGAGCCACCAACGAGAAGTTTCCGTTTAAAAAAACGGCTGTGCTGCTAAGCAAATCTTGTTTCACTTAGAAAAATAAACACTGAAGACTATATATTTTTCGTTTTTACAAAAAATATATCTTTTAGAAAAGTGTAATATAGTTTTTCATCATCGATGAAAAACTGGTAAAAAAAGTTTGTGGATACAAAAAGCCTTGGCTCCAAACTTGCCGAGTGAAATAAAAAAGAAATCATTTTACCCCACATAAACCCCTTTCAACAGCATATCCACTTACAAAAAATCTGACCCCAACCTGACGCAAGTCAGTTTGATATCTTTTAGTTCTTTTTTAGACAAATCAAATCTGACGATCTTCGGATAGCGTCAATAGTCACTAAATTATTTCACTCAAGACTATTTTGATCAAAACTGGACTTTCTACGGCTTTTTAGTGAAGCCATTGGCTTCTTTACATCCAGTATTTTTCAGCTCAAGGAAGAATCATATTTTAAATACGTCTGCTCATATCAGATCAAAGTTCTGTGGTCAAAGTTCGATGTGTCGAATGTAACTTGAACGAACAAATTGCTTGAAATTGCATTAACTGTTTATTTTTTAACTTTAACTTTGGGTCAAAGTTTTATTGGGTTAATTGAAACAACCTGAAATGTTCTGATCATTTTAGCTTGAAAGACCTGAAACAGAAAAAAAACAGAACTGGTTCAGCATTTACAGAAAAAAACTAACACAATTTGCATTCCTGGTTAAGCACAGACAAAAACTAAAACTCATAAGTAAAAATGACACATTGTATATGTCACTCTTAACAAAGACAGGTAATTAAAGCGCAACTATGTATTTCTAATGTTCTAGTTTTATTTATTTTTTTCTAAAGTTTTTTAAAAAAAACTAACTTAAAAAACTTAACAAGGATAGCAGTTACTGTGCAAGTAGCTTAGAATGTTCCGACCATAGTCTTAAAAATACAGAAAACGTTTATTCAACTTAGTTTCATTTTTTCTGCAAAGTGTGATAAAAAATCTGAACAAAAAATAGAACTTAGGCTATTTCGACAGTTATAGTAATATGGAAAACAGTTTCTAAAGAAAAATTAGCTGAAAAAAAATCAAAAAGAAGCACCGTAAAAAACAATTTAACTTTTAATTTTTTTTCAGAAATATTTTTAATTTTTGAACTTTTTGGTTCAAAATTGCGCTAAAAATGAATGAATTCAAACCGGTTTTTCTCAAGGTTGCTCAAACCACGACTGAAAATGCTTTAAAATGACAAATGACTCGACGCATTCCAGAGATTTTTTGTGTTACTTGACTTTGCGTGAACAACAAAAAGTTTTACAAAAACAAATCGCACCCAAATACAAAGCTCCTCTCCAACTTTAATGGTCGGAACAATTACATGTAAAAGTTGTACTCTGAATGCAACAAAGAGAAGAAAAATTTATAGGTAGAAAAAAATCCTTATAAAATATTCGAATGTTCCATGAAAACTGGTAAATAAATGTCTTAACATCCGTGCTTAAATTTTTCATGACTCAAAAGTTGGTTAAAATCATTTTCGTGAAAACCGAAAAAAAATTGGCATCAAGCTTACTTTTTTCCATTCAAACGAAGTACAATGTATAATAGACATTTAAGTTTTGTTCAATTTTTGGTGCGAAGCAGTTATGGAGAGAGATTGATGAATCCTTACACTGTTACGGAGAAAAATTACTCAGATTATTGTTTTAGAACCAATAATTTCAAATCAAGAAACTTTTTTTTTTGCTCAATATCCAGGCATCCTTTGAAAAGTAAACTTTGAACTTTACCAACTAATATTTCACACCCATATCAGGAAGAAATATCCAGGGTCAAAGTGCTCAATCTATGTTTTGACTTTCAAGGTCGAGCACATGTCAGTTCTCGGACAAAAAAGTATAGTCGAGACAGGGGTTTGGGTCGAGCATAATTTCAAAGTAACCTCGAGCACAGTCGAAACATAACTCGTGAACGGTCGAAACATACCTCGACCACGGTCAAAACATACCTCAAGCACGGTCGAAACATAGCTCGAGCACAGTTGAGCGCGGTCGAAACAAACCTCGAGCACAGTCGAGCTCGATCGATACAAACCTCGAGTACGGTCGAAAAATACCGGTTGTTCCGCGGTAATTCGGAGTCAACGAGAAAAATTTTTTTCAGATATCAACCAACTTTTTACTTTTTTGACTCACATTGCAAACCATTATTCCAAAAGATGGAAAAAAAGCTCAAAAATAGTTCATCTCTACGAAGCATTTAATTAGCAAATAACTAAAATCATTTCAGTCTGATAAAAAACATCATACGATGTCACCAAAAAAGCATAAATTATTACGTTGAAAACTGAAGAACTCATGTTGCTTGAAAGTCGAAATCTACCCAAACTTGGTCGAGCACTTGCTTGGGTCGAGCACGGTCGAATACATTTTTTCGGTCGAGCACGGTCGGAACATATCTTGCTTGAATCGAGAACGGGTGCGCACATTTGTTTTGGTTGAGTACAGTCGCAACATACAGAATTTTGATCGAGCACCGTCGAATCATACCAGTTCTTGATCGAGGCGGTCGAAACATAAAGTGAGCACCTCGACCTGGGATGCTGCGTTACTGTTTGAAATTTTTCGTGTTTGAGACAAAACTCAAAGATTGACAAACCTGATTTAATGCCCTTACAGCTCAAATGTATGAAAACAATTATGTGCCATTGATTGGTCTTTATGGTGTGCCATAGATTGGTCTTTATGTTCTGCCATTGGCTGCTTTTTGTTTCACAGACAAATATAGAATTATATATAATATTTTAACTGGGGATGAGAAAAGCTCATAACGTATTTTAAATATAAATACAAAAACAGCCTTTAAAAGTAACAGCAAAAAAATTAGTGCTACTCGTGTCTATCAAGCAGCACGCAGGCAACCTAGAAAGCAGAGACAAATTTTTTAATCAATAAGTGATTTTAATAGCATGAAAGTTGCCATGCTATGTTTGTGTCATAATGCTATTATAATGTGTAAAGATTGCTCCAAAATCATTTCAGTTTAATTAACCGCAATTTAAACTATGCAACTTTAAGTATCCTAATACTATGCATCGTATACCTTTTCATTCACTCAGATTTAAGTGTCGTCAAAATTGTCTGCTTAGTGACGAGCTGTAAATTGATTGTATCTGCTTAGTGCCCGAACAACAACGCTTCACGTATGAGGTTAAAGTTCAAAGCAATTGACTGTTTTCCATTGTGTATCCGATGTATTTTGGTAAAACATAAACTAGATTGAGATAGTATCACAGTTAGTTTTATTTTTCTTGTTTGAAATCTTTCGCCGCCAATCTTCTGGGCGTACTAGGAACTTTCGATTTTTGTTTTGTAAGATTTTCTATTTTGTTGTTTTTTGATTGATCAGTCAAATCTGAAGGTAGAATGCTTTGCTGAGATTGTACTTCTTGGCTGTGAAACATTATCGTCCTGTCCTCTATATAGGATTCTAGATCATATAAATTATAACAGATAACAAAACCCGCCATAGTTGTTAATCTGTCAGATATAAGTTCCAGTATAGAAACCAGTTCAAGGTTTTCAATTTCTTTTTGAACATCTTCTATTATTCAAACCGTAGTAAAAAAATTGAATGATATCTGGACTCAGCTTTTAATTTCCATTTTACATAATGTACTAACTTTTCTTCAAAATCAAATAAATAAACATACCCAGTGTGCACACAAAAAAAGACTGGAAGAAAAATAGTTATTTAAATAACACAAAAAACATCAGAAAAAAAAATTATGGAACATTACAGTTCCAACAAACTTGAAATCTCCAAGACATTGCTGAGCCAAATTTTTGAATTCAATCAGAGTATAGTTGACAGGAAGTGGATTGCCAAATT